AAAGCAACACCGTCATCTTTATTGACATGTCCGGCCCTTCCTTGGCCACAAGCCACTTTAGGCCACATGCCCACTAGAGCTACCTCCTCCCGTGGCGAGAGCAGGGGAAGCTTTAAGTCCAGTCTGCCAGAAAAGACTGTGAAGGCAGACATAGCTCAGCACCGGCTCCCTCCTCATCTCTGGGAATCCCACTCCACATACCCCTGTGCCAGGCCAGACAATACACAGTGTCCTTTCCGGTTCTGGGTCTGTGAAGATTAGCACTCAGTGTCAACTTGACAACACAACCTAAAATCACCTGGGAAGACAGTCTCAGGGCACTATCTATTTTGGGTTGGTCAGGGGGCCTGCCTGTGGGGGGGTTGTCTCAGTTACATTAACTGCTGTGAGAAGACCCAGCCCACAGTGGGCAGCTCCATTCCCTGTGCAAGGTGCTGACCTGTGTAAGATTGGAGAATGAGCAAGCAGGCACTCTTTTCTCTGCTCCTGACTGTGGGTGTCACATGACCAGCTCCTATCTTGATTTCTCCATAACTGTTGAACTATGACCTGGAATCGTGAGCCAAAATAAGCCCCTTTCTCCCATATGTTGTTTTTAGTCAGGGTGTTTTTCTTGCAGCAGCAGACATAAAACCAGAACAGAGTTTGAGGGTGGGCGGTTCTTTCTGGGTGAGAGAGTCATGAAGAGTCATTAACTCCACAGACAGACAAGACAGCAGGGCTCTGAGGTGAGACCAGGGGCATGCAGCAGGGTCCAAGCCCTCCTTAGGAGCTGGAGGGGAGCTGGAGGGGAGCTGGAGGGGAGCTGGAGGGGAGCTGGAGGGGAGCTGGAGGGGAAGGTTCTTAGTCAGAGGACTGAAGAGCAGCCATGGTTTCTGCTGGATCTGGCCTTCCCGATGGCTGAATCAGCTGAGGGTGAAAAGGGTAGGAATCTGAAAGCAAGTCACTTGAACTGGGAAACCAAATTACTCTGTCTAGGGATTGTTACGATTTAGCAAAAAGGGAGTGAGCCTGGCTACCACCTGCCCTGTACAGACCCATGTGCACGCGCGCGCGCACACACACACACACACACACACACACACACACACACACACTCCATAGTGTCACACATGGCTTGGGTTGAACTTAGTATCCCTGCCCCATGCAACAGTCATTTCCAGAACCCTCCATCTCCCATCCCCACAGCTGCAGAGGACTGGAGCCAAGCCAGGGCCACACACTAGACTGGGTGCCACTAGGACTCAGAAAAACAAGACCTAACTATGTCGTAGCCTGAGATCAAGGTGAGGAACTAGCCAAAAGCTCCCAGAGGAGGCCATTGAAAGGGATAAACTACACTCAAAGGCTTCACTTCTAGTAGTTTAGAAATGAAGGGACCAGACCCTCACTCAGCCCCTGCTTTAGCAGCCATGACAGGCTACAGAAAAGACACGTAGGTCTCTGACACAAAGAAACTCCAGATCCCCTGGCCTCCCGGAGTCTAGGGCCAAAACTGAACACAAAGCAACTCCAGATCCCCCCCCACCTAGATACTGGTTCTTGAGAACTGTTTGGCCAAAAAAAAAAAAAACCAACAACAAAAAACTCCAGGGAGACCAAAACCTTCCCTGTAGTTTCCAGGATATAGTTCTGAAAACTATTGGTATGTATGTACAACAGGCCACCTGCAAGTAACAAGACAATTACATAGAAACCACAGAATGTTCCCTCTCAGCCCTGACCAATGAAAATAATTAATACACAGGTATTTCATGCCAAAATATGACTTTAAGAAATGCTCCTAATTGTCCCCAAATGTCAACCAATCAGAAACCAACAAGTATCTATGGATGAAATCCTTTAACTTTTGTCTTTTGTTTGTTTGGTTTTTTGAGACAGGGTTTCTCCTCTGTGGCTTTGGAGGCTGTCCTGGAATTCACTCTGTAGACCAGACTGGCCTCGAACTCAGAGATCCACCTGCCTCTGCCTCCCGAGTGCTGGGATTGAAAGTGTGCACCACCAACGCCCAGCGAATTTTTGTCTTTAAAAACTAGCAGTAGATAGGGAACTTCCCTCTCTCTGGAGGCTGCTGCATCAGCTTGCTAGACAGGGTCCCTAACATGGTTGGATGAACAATCAATAGAACCTTGCTTTTGCAGTTTGGTGGGTCTGTCTTCCTGGTGGTCTCTGTGGATCTTTGTAACTTGGGCACAACAGCCTTGAGTGGGATGTGGGGAGCCGCAGTGATGCAGTTACCCCCTTAGATCCATGCCCCTGATAAAGACAGCACAGACCCAGGGTTGAGTCAACAGCACCCAGCCAGCACACGGGGTGAGGTCAGACATGTGACATGCATCAGCAGAAGCTGGGCAGCAGGTTGTGTGATGACCTTGGACCCCAGGAACATTGTATCCTTGAGAGACAAGCAAGTTGGCCACCTGCTAGCTGTTTTATCTGAAACCAAGCAACAAAGTAGCTGGAGTCGGGCAGTGATAAGAGCCTGGGCTTGGGATCTTCAGGTTCATGACCTTTTCCCAGCACCAACAATGTCTCCACAAGATAGTGAGGCGCCCCGCCCTCCTTGAGCCTCCATTTCCTATCTCCAAGATTGGCATGTGCCAGCACCTCCAACCACCCCATTAAAATCTAAACAGATACCCATAATGCACTTCAAAAAGGATGTGGCTGTTGAATTTAGCCTAAATAGCTCCTTTTGTTTTTTTTTTTATTGTTGTTGTTGTTGGGTTTTTGTTTGGTTTGTTGGTTGGTTGGTTTGGTTTTGGTTTTGGTTTTGAGACAAGGTTTCTCTGTGTAGCCCTGGCTGTCCTGGAACTCTGTCTGTAGAGTAGAACTGGCCTCCAACTCAGAGATCCACCTGTCTCTGCCTCAGAATGCTGGGATTGTTACTTACTTTTGTATGCAATACTGTAGATGGAACTAGGCAGGGCTCTACCCCAGAACCATACCCTAGTCCCTCACTGGAGTATTCGAGGTGTGTCTCCACCCCCAATCATGCCCCAGCCCCTCACTGGGGATTCTAGGCAGGGCTCCACCCTAACCACGCCCCCAGCCCCTCAATGCTGCCCCGCTTCTGAGGATAGGTAATCATAGTCTCCAGAGTTTCTCTGGTTGATGCACACCAGGATCCAGTAGCTAAATCCAAAGGTCACACAGATAAACTGGTTAATCTCACTGGGTGGCAAGACAAAAAGCCGTGAATGTAGGAGAGAGAAATGTAGAAAAGAAGAAGGTATTGATTGACAGGAGTGGGAAGGAGAAAAGAGAGGATGGGGTGAGGGATAAACAGTCAAGGAACGAAGTTAATTTAAAAAATCTGGGGGAAGGGGTGGCTGTGGAGATGGTTTAGTGATTAAAGGCACTAACTGCCAAAGGACCCAGGTTTGATTCCCAGTGCCCACATGGCAGCTCACAACTGTCTATAACTCCAGGCCCAAGGGATCTAGAGTTACATACATGCAATGTACAGACATACATGCAGGCAAAACACCCATACACATAAATAAATGAATAACAAAACAGGAAGACTTGAAGATGGGGGGAATGGGGAGGTGAGGGTGCATGGGGGAATGTAAGAAAGGGAGTAAGGGAGGGAAAGAGAGAGGGAGGGAGGGAGGGAAGAAGCTTCTTCCTTGGTCAGCTGACAGTGTCACAATTGAGTCTGCAGTGAGCAAGAAACAGCATGGCAGAGCCAGAACCAGTGTGCATGAGGCCCTAAATCCCATCCCCAACACCATATAAACCCAGGACATGATGCACACCTGACATTGCAGAACTTGGGAAGTAGAGGCAGAAGGATCAGGGGTTCAAGGTCACCGTTGGCTGCTTATCAAGTGAGAGACCAGACGGGCCTCCATGAAACCTTATCTCAGATGGGTGTGGGGGTGTGGAAATGGCTAGGTGGGTGAAATCACCTGCTTATGAGGACCTGAGTTCAAATCCCTCAAAACCACATCAAAGCCCAGAACCCAGCAAGGAGTATGTGTGACCCCAGAGACCCACAGAGGGTGGGAGTTGAAAGCGGAAGACCCCTAGAGTCTGGCAGTCTGTGGCCAGAAAGAGAAAAGACGCTGTCTGGATCAAGTTGGAAGATAAAGACTAACATGCATGTCTGCTCTCTGGCTTCCAAATGTGCTCAGGCAAACTCATGCACTCCCAAAGATACTTAGATGCCAGGGATGTTGTTGATTACCGGTAATCCCAGCATTCCAGAGGCTGAAGGCAGGAAGTTCATGAGTTCAAGGCCAGCCTGAGCAACACAGTGAGTTCCAGGCTAGCCTGAGCTATATAGGAAGCCCGCTAATTAAATAAATACTTATCAACACGGAAGCAAAGACATGTTGGTGTAGGGGAGCACCCCGCTGTTTGCGGGGTCCAGCTCTGAGACTTAGCCCTCTTGTGTTAGTCTCCAAGTCCTCCTGGGAATGATATCCATCTTTCAAGAGACCCAAAGGAGTTCTAGGGCCTTCCAGGGCTCCTCAGAACAGTTCCCAGCCTGTGCAAATGTGAAAGAAAAACTGTAGAAGATACCAAGAGACATCCCCCAACCCCATGCCCACATCTGACACCCTGAAACCAAATCTCGACTCCAGAGATCCTGGGGCTCAGAACCACCACCCTTCTGTGCCTCTAAAAAGGTTCTGAGTAAGTAGGGAGATCTCGCCTGAACTGGAGAAGAGACAGAAGACAGAGACACTGAGGCAGGGACTAGGGCTGGGGTTGGGGGGTGCTGTCCTAGATGGTGTTTACAAAACCCATGGCACCTCTCCATGCCGTCTCTATGAAACCCGAGTGCAGAGGGACGAGTTACTGATGGCATCTGGAAGCTGGAGTCGGGATAAGCCGGGACCATGAGGTCTCGGAAAAGGTGCTTGCCCTGGGAGAGTCCGACATCTCCAGACCCCTCCTTCCATCCTCCCTCCATCCCTCCATCCCTCCCATCGAGCATCCTAGGCGAGCCCAGGAGGCGGAGCTCGCGGGTGACCCGGCCGTGACGCGAGTACGGCTCCGCTGATATAGAAGCGCCCGGGGACGCAGAGACAGCTCCGCAGCCACCTCATCCGGTCTCCAGAGCCAGAGCCACAGAGGCCCGTCAACACCGGCCCATCTGCGGGTACCAGCAGCGCCACCACCATGCGGGAAATCGTGCACCTGCAAGCCGGGCAATGCGGCAACCAGATCGGGGCCAAGGTGCGCCGGGCTGGAGAGGGCGTGGAGACGGGAGGGTCGCAGAGAGGGGTCTTTGGATCTCCTAAGACTCACCCAAGAATTCTGCATACCAGGGTGGTGGGGGAGGGGAGACAGGGCAGAGCCGGGCCGGGAACAAAGAGGCCGGTGATGGGGGCAGGGCCTGGCCTGTGTCCCTTGGTCACAGCTGTCCTCACAGCTGGGCTACTGTCACCCTCAGCTGCCTGGCACAAAGAGGCACGGCCCCTCCTCCCAGGGCTGCCGACGGGGTGGGCTGGCACCGAGTGGCTCCGATGGGGCCCAGCCTGTCCCTACCCCCTCTTCTCTTGCTTCTTGCTGGCTCATGCTTAGCTGTGGCTCTGGGTTCCCCAGTCACCTCTCAGGAGGACAGTCAGCAATTGGAGAAGTGGCTGGAAGGGTGTTCCAGACACAGCATCTCTCAGCCCTTCCCGAGTGTCATTGTGACCCAGTCTTAGCACTTGGGAGGTAGAGGCAGGAGCCCAAAAAACAGTCTCGCATACACAGTAAGTCGGAGGCCAACCTGGGCTATATGAAACCCTGTGTCGATACATACATACATACATACATACATGCATGCATGCATGCATGCATACATACATACATACATGCATTTGTCCAGGTGTTGTGCTTCACACCTGTCACCCCAGCCACCAGGAGGATGGAGACAGGAGTTCAGTATCACCCTAGGCTATCTAGTGAATTTCAAGCTAGCCTGGTCTATAGGAGACACTGCCTAAAAAATTAAAAATTTAAATTTTTTTTCATTTTTATTTAAGTCAAAAACAAGCTTGCATCACATGTCAATCCCAGCTCCCTCTCCCTCCCCTTCTCCCCCACCCTCCTCACCAGGTCCCACAGTCCCCCACCCAATCTCCACTCTGATCCCCAGGGAGGGTGATGCCCTCCATGGTGGATCTCCAGAGTCTGTCATTTCATCCAGGGCAGGGCCTAGGCCCTCCCACAAGAGTCCAGGCTGAGAGAGCCTCCCTCATTGTGGGATGGACACCCAAAGTCCTTTTGTATGCCAGGGATTGTAGATGGACGTCAGCCACCATGTGGTTGCTGGGAACCGAACTCAAGACCTCTGGAAGAGCAGTCAGTGCTCCCAACCTCTGAGCCACCTCTCCAGCCCCCTGTATGCCAGGGATTAATACTACCCAAGGCCCCATAGATTACCTCGCCGACACCCACATTCAGGGGGTCTGGGTCAGTCCCATGCTGTCTACCCAGTCATCAGTGGGGTCCAAGAGCTCCCCCTTGTTCAGGTCAGCTGTCTCTGTGGGTTAAACCAGTCCAGTCTTAACCCCTTTGCTCATCAGTTCTCTCTAAAAAAAAATTTTAAAACAGCAAATAAAAAAAAAAGCTACTCAACCCTTCCGATCACCCACCCCAACATCAAACAAACAAACAATAGGGCAGGCAACATGGCTCCTCTGATGCTTATGGCCAAGCCCAACGACCCAAGTTTGACGCCAGGACACACAGGCCGGAAGGAAGTGCCTCGGGCAAGTTGTCCTCTGGCCTCCACTCAAGCATTCGGTGATGCACGCCCACATAAAACAAACTGTTCTTAAACAACAATGACAAAAGGACAATCTATTCAACTGTGCCATCACACACCTCCATCTAGTTCTGGGAAGTTATCAGTGATGAACACGGCATCGACCCCACCGGGACCTATCACGGGGATAGTGACCTCCAGTTGGAAAGAATCAATGTCTACTACAATGAGGCCACAGGTAAGGTAATCAGCGGGGTGGACACCTTCTGGTGTGGGGGTGTAGGCTGGCAAAAAGGGACAGGATGTGCCCAGGAGCCTGCTGGGCCTGCTGCTCACCCCAGTCACCCTCCATCTGCCATCCCCACAGGTGGAAATTATGTTCCCAGAGCCGTGCTGGTTGACCTGGAACCTGGCACCATGGACTCCGTCCGCTCCGGCCCTTTTGGCCAGATCTTCAGGCCAGACAACTTTGTGTTCGGTAAGTCCCTCTCCGGTGTGGGCATACAACATGTTTGTTTTCGTTTGTAACTAGCACCAAAGAGCCTACGATGATTGCTGCAGACTCAGAGGGGACGGGGCAGTTGGGGATTTGATTAGGGACACCAGCCTAGCCTAGGCTAGCCTCCAACTCTCCACATAGCTGAGGTTGGCCTTGAACTAACTGAGGCAGCTTAAAATGACCCTGAATTTCTGACTCTCCTGGTGCCACCTTCCCAGTTCTGGGATGCCACGGGGATTTCTGCGGTGCTGGGAGTGGAGCCCAGGGTTCTGTGCATGCCAGAGGAGCGTGGTAGCCCCTGAGCTCCACCCTCTGGAGATGGAGGATGTAGGAAGGAGGTAAGGAGGTTCTGTGTAGACACCACACTGTCCTCTGGAAGGGCTCTGAGCTCATCTTCCGATTAGGAGAGGAGTCAGTCCATGACCACAGGGCTGGTGTTTAGCAATCCATCTACAGTCCATCCTGAGAATGTCAGCTCTACGGGGATGGTAGCAGGTCAAGCAGGGAGCAAGCAGGCAGCTGCTTCTTCCCTACTGTAGCCCCAGCCAGGGACCTGGGGCAAGTGAGTTTCCGCTTTCCGATGGATACAAAGTCTGTGGAAGGTAACAGTGTGCCTGTGTGGGTATGACACACACAAGGGCCTCCGGAAATGGCTGAGGAGAGAAAGATACAAAAAAGTAAGTGAGCCAAAGAGCAAGAAAACAAAGTGTGTGTCCCAGAGACAGACTGAGAGGAGGAGATAAGAAAGGAAGGCAGAGAGAAAAGAGAGGGGGGAGAGAGGGAGTGAGAAAGGGAGACAGAGAGAAAGGAAAAGATTGAGAGGAGGCTTGGGGGAGTTGACTCAGTTGGTAAAGTGCTCCCTGAGCAAGCATAAAGATGTGAGTTCAAATCCCAAGCACCCATTTAAAACTACAAGCACAGGGACTCATGTCTGTATCCCTATCTCCGGGAAGAATAGTGACAGGCGAAACCCTGGAGCTTGCTGGCCAGCCAGTCTAGCCATGAGAGGATCCTGTCTCAATAATAAATAAAGTGGAGAGAGAGGAAGACACCAGACATTGACCCCCATACACGTGTGCATTCACGGGCACGCCCACACGCGCACTCACACATACCCACGCGCCCGCAGGCACACACTCTCACAGAGGTGACAAGGAGCTGGAGGTGAGCTAGGGGCCGTGAGAATACCGGTGGGGAAGGAATTCCAGGCAGCCAGACTGGCTGGTGCACAGGTCCCAGAGCTGATGGAGGAGCAGCCAGGAGGGCCGCGTGACTCGAGCAGAGGGATAAGAGGAGAGATGGAGGAGGCGGGAGGGAACAGGGCAGGGCGAGCGGGGCTTGTGGGGAGGAAGCGGTGCGGGGGAGGGGCGGGGTGTAATGTAGGGATAGCAGGGACGGACTCGGCTCACGGGCGCCCTCTGGCTGCTGCAGGGAGCACAGACGTGAGAAGCCGGAACCAGGTCAAGGCACTGGGAGGAGGCAGAGATTTTCAAACTTACGGAGTATGGTTTTATTTAGCTTTTTGTAGGAGTCTTCTAGCTTCTGGATGAAGGTGTGTCAAAGTTGAAACACTATTAACTATAATAATTATTATAACATAATAATCGGCGCTGGAGAGATGGCTTAACAGTTAACAGCACTTTGCCCTAGCAGGGGATCCCGTGTGACTCCCAGGACCCTGATGGTCCTTCAACTATCTTCATCTCTGGCCTCTAAGGGCACTGCATTCGTGGTGCACAGACAAACACGCGGGCAAAACACTCACACACTTAAAAAAGTATGCATGAGACTGGGCAGTGGTTGTGTACGCCTTTAATCCCGGCACCCAGGAGGCACAGGCAGGCGGATCTCTGTGAATTCAAGGCCAGCCTGGTCTACAGAATGAGTTCAAGGACAGCCAAGGCTACACAGAGAAACCCTGTCTCGAAAAAAAAAGAATAAAATAAACTGGGCATGGTAGCACATACCTTTAATCCCAGCACTCTGGAGGCAGAGACTGGAGGATCTGAGTTTGAAGCCAGCCTGATCTACAGAAGAGTTCCTGAACAGTCAGGGATACATAGTGAGACCCTGTCTCAGAAAAAAATTAAATGAATAAAACAATAAAATAAAATTTGGAAAATAGCTATGTAATTAAATTAGTCACATTTTAATAATGATAATTGTTTGGTAATAAAGAATCAATTACTATTTATGCCTATTACGGTACTAACTGAGTGTTGTTAGCAATAATAGCTGTGCTGTATTATTACACACTGCAGACAGTGACAGTATGCAGGATATCAAGCAGCTGGTGGGAAGATTTTAAATGTTTTTAGGACAAATAAAACAGTGATATGCATTTGGGGAAGTCTTTATCTTTATTCTAATTCAAACACTGAACAGTATAGCCCTGTATCAAAATACAGTGTGGCCCTCTGCCAATGTGTATGATTTTTATGTCTTGGCTGACAAATAGCCCTGGTGTAATGGAGGAGGCACCAGGACGCCTGTGTGACTGGGGCGGAGACCATGAGGGGAATAGACGGAGGCAGAGGCAGGAGGGAATAGGTCTGGCGAGCACCAGCACCACAGAAACTGGATTTCCTGATGTCAGCATTCATCGGAGCTGGAGGCTCGGGAGTTCAGGGTTATCCTTGGCTACACATGGGGTTTGAGACCAGCCTGGGCTATTTAAGACCCTGTGTCGAAATAAACAAATAATTCAAGCCGGGCATGCTGCCTACCCCAGCCACCACAGCACTCAGCAGGCAGACAGCAGAGTTCATGAGCAGCCAGGGCTCCACACTGAGAACCTGTAGGAAAAATAAAATAGCCGGGCGGTGGTGGCGCACGCCTTTAGTCCCAGCACTCGGGAGGCAGAGGCAGGCGGATATCTGAGTTCCAGGCCAGCCTGACCTACAGAGTGAGTTCCGGGACAGCCAAGGCTGCACAAAGAAACTCTGTCTCAAAAAACCAAAAATAAGTAAATAAAATATAACCACCTAAGAAAAACAACTGGGGGAGGGGGCTGGAGAGATGGCTCAGTGACTAACAGCACTGGCTGCTCTTCCAGAGGACTCTAGTATTCCCAGCAACCACACGGTGGCTCACAGCCACCTGCATCTCCAGCTCCAGGCATGGAAACATGTACTCACGTGCACATGCATAAGAATAGAGCTTTGTTTGTTTAAAAAGTTTCACTGTGTAGCCCTGGCTGTCCTGGATCTCGGTATGTAGACCAGGCTGGACTCACAGAGCTCTGCCTGCTCTGCCTCCCCAGTGCTGAGATAAAGGTGCACACCACCACACGCAGCTAAAATAAAATAAATAAGTAAAATAAAACTAACCACCACAGTCCCCAAAAGTAAATTCAGTCATTAAAATAATACTAACGCTAACATTCTCACAACCTTTTCATTATTTATTAGTTACTGAGACAGGGTAGCCCAGGCACGCCTGATCCTCCTGCCGCCACCTCCTGAGTGCTGGAATGACAGGTGAGACCAGCACACCTAGCTTCTGCCCTGGCGAGATGGAACCCAGGGCCTCATTCGTGCAAGGCAGGGCTCTACCCTCCGAGCCTGGTCGGGCACTCTTGTCAATTCCTGGTCTAATGATTCAGGTTGAAGGGTCCCCCCGGCCCCTACTCTTCCCCATGCCTGCGAATCCAAGCCCGTCCCTTCCCCAGGTCAATCCGGAGCCGGCAACAACTGGGCCAAGGGTCACTACACGGAGGGCGCGGAGTTAGTGGACGCGGTCCTGGACGTGGTGCGGAAGGAGGCGGAAAGCTGTGACTGTCTGCAGGGCTTCCAGCTCACACACTCGCTGGGCGGCGGCACCGGCTCCGGCATGGGGACCCTGCTCATCAGCAAGATCCGGGAGGAGTTCCCGGACAGGATCATGAACACCTTCAGCGTGGTGCCGTCGCCCAAGGTGTCCGACACGGTGGTGGAGCCCTACAACGCCACGCTGTCGGTGCACCAGCTGGTGGAGAACACCGACGAGACCTACTGCATCGACAACGAGGCCCTGTACGACATCTGCTTCCGCACGCTCAAGCTCACCACGCCCACCTACGGGGACCTCAACCACCTGGTGTCAGCCACCATGAGCGGGGTGACCACCTGCCTGCGCTTCCCAGGCCAGCTCAACGCGGATCTTCGGAAGCTGGCGGTGAACATGGTGCCCTTCCCTCGCCTGCATTTCTTCATGCCGGGATTCGCGCCCCTGACCAGCCGGGGCAGCCAGCAGTACCGGGCCCTCACCGTGCCCGAGCTCACCCAGCAGATGTTCGACGCCAAGAACATGATGGCCGCGTGCGACCCGAGGCACGGCCGCTACCTGACGGTGGCTGCCGTCTTCCGGGGGCGCATGTCCATGAAGGAGGTGGACGAGCAGATGCTGAGCGTGCAGAGTAAGAACAGCAGCTACTTCGTGGAGTGGATCCCCAACAACGTCAAGACGGCCGTGTGTGACATCCCCCCTCGGGGCCTGAAGATGGCAGCCACCTTCATCGGCAACAGCACCGCCATCCAGGAGCTCTTCAAGCGCATCTCGGAGCAGTTCACCGCCATGTTCCGGCGCAAGGCCTTCCTGCACTGGTACACGGGCGAGGGCATGGACGAGATGGAGTTTACGGAAGCAGAGAGCAACATGAACGACCTGGTGTCCGAGTACCAGCAGTACCAGGATGCCACGGCCGAGGAGGGCGAGTTCGAGGAGGAGGCCGAAGAGGAGGTGGCCTAAGCCTCCTGCTGCCGTCGCTCTGCCCCTGCGGCCCACCAGCGAAGCTTTGACCCCAAGCGGCCCCACCCCCTCGGATCCCGGGAGGGTCTTCCTTGTGCCCCACTAACACTGTCCACGCCTAGAACCCTGTTGCTTAACTTGCTTCACCCCGCTTTCTCTCCAACCCTGCCTGGAAGGGTTCTCCTAATTCCCATGACTCCCGCCCCCCACACCCACACTTCACCTCCGACGGCGCTTCCCCGTACTCTGAACCGTTCCCCACCTCTGACATCCTCAGATACCTCTCTAGATCTTGAGTTACGTTTCCCCATGCCCCGAGCGCCCTCCCTGGTGCTCAGTTGCTACCAGCTTGGCTTTACCAGGGAAGAGCAGGAAGGAGAGGAAAGAGAGGCCTGTGGCCTGGGGTGACAGAGCTCCTCCCCGCTGCCTACCCCACCCTGCTCTCTGATGATCAATAAATGAGTCATTGCTTTGATGTGGTCCTCTGTTCAATTTATTTTCTTCTCTGAGGGCAGCCAGGGAGGGGGGTGGCCCTACAGGGTGGAGGGGAGTCACTGAAAACTGAATGAATAAAAGATATAAAAAAGAGAGGAAAGGCCGGGCGGTGGTGGCGCACGCCTTTAGTCCCAGCACTCCGGAGGCAGAGGCAGGCAGATCTCTGTGAGTTCAAGGCCAGGCTGGACCAACAGCCTCCAAAACAATACAGAGAAACCCTGTCTCGAAAAACCAAAAAAAAAAAAAAAAAATTGGCTTCTCGAGGCTGGGTGCCACACTTGACTTTTCTTTAATCAGTTTTTATATGTGGGTGCGGGGACTCGTGTGGGCGCGGGGACTCGTGTGGGTGCGGGGACTGAGCTTGTGAGAGAGCAGTCCTTGCTCTTAGCTGCTGAGCCACACCTCAGTACCCTAAACTTAACTTCTTGGGGTACAGACAGGGACCCTAAGTTCAATAACACCCGGGCCTGTCTTCAGTCGGTTCTGTGACCTCTCTCAGTGAGGTGTGTGTGTATGTGAGGGATGTGTATGAGGTGTGTGTGTGTGGTGTGTGTGTGAGGGGTGTGTATGGGGATGTAAATGAGATGTGGGTGTGTATATGAGGTGCGTGGGGTGTGTGTGTGAGATGTATATGAGGTGTGTGTGTGTAAGGGATGTATATGAGGGGTGTGTGTGTAAGGGATGTATATGAGGTGTGTGTGTGTAAGGGATGTATATGAGGGGTGTGTGTGTAAGGGATGTATATGAGGGGTGTGTGTGTAAGGGATGTATATGAGGTGTGTGTGTGTAAGGGATGTATATGAGGGGTGTGTGTGTAAGGGATGTATATGAGGGGTGTGTGTGTAAGGGATGTATATGAGGGGTGTGTGTGTGTAAGGGATGTATATGAGGGGTGTGTGTGTGTGAGATGTATATGAGGGGGGTGTGTGTAAGGGATGTATATGAGGGGTGTGTGTGTGTAAGGGATGTATATGAGGGGTGTGTGTGTGTAAGGGATGTATATGAGGTGTGTGTGTGTAAGGGATGTATATGAGGGGTGTGTGTGTGTAAGGGATGTATATGAGGTGTGTGTGTGTAAGGGATGTATATGAGGGGTGTGTGTGTGTGAGATGTATATGAGGTGTGTGTGTGTGTAAGGGATGTATATGAGGGGTGTGTGTGTGTGAGATGTATATGAGGTGTGTGTGTGTGTAAGGGATGTATATGAGGGGTGTGTGTGTAAGGGATGTATATGAGGTGTGTGTGTAATGGATGTATATGAGGGTGCTGTGTGTGTGTGTGTGATGTATACGAGGGGTGTGTGTGTGTATGAGGTGTGTGTATGTGCACATACCCACATACCACCTTACCTGGATTCTGAGCCTCTCTGTGTCTCCATCAGGAACTCCTGCAGGACCCCAACAGTCACCCTTTGTCACCCTCTTTTGCCCTTCAGTGTAGCTGCTCCTGTAAATGAAACAGAAACAACGGGCAGTTACCTGAGTGGTCTTCACAGACATTCAGTACTCAGAGGGCCCAGAAAGAAAGGACCTGGGTGTCACCATGGAGGCCATAAGGTGAAGCTGGGCCTCCCAGCCTGCCCTGCTTCTTACCAACCCTGTCTCCACCTAGGCTAGGAAACCAGGACGCCTGAGTTGCTTACAGCAGTGGGGGCAGGGGCCTCCTTCGTCTGGAGCGTCACCCTGTTATACTTCCTCTCTCAGCCACACAGGAAGCTGAGCAGATCAGGGGCCTTGCCCCAAGCAAGGACAGGCTCCCCAGGCCTGGGAGCCCCGGAGCCCCGGGAAAGGGCCCAGCTGGGCCAGCCCTGCCCTGCGGAGACCATGGGATCCACAGAGAAGTAAGAGCTCACTTCCCTCCATCCTGTGCTGCAAGATTGCCAGGCCTGAGACAGGAAAAAAAAAGCAAAAAGCAAAATACATGGTAGCTGGGGCTTGGGCGAGGGAGGGCCCAGGAGGCACAGGCACCCACCCACAGGAGTGGACCTCCAGGGACCTGCTCAGGCCATGGGTGGTTCCTCTTCAATTTTCCTGGATCCGGATCAGGGATTTTAGGAGTGTGATGCCCCAGTAAGGGCGGTGTGCTTTAGGAAGGGGATTTCCGGGAGGGGATGGGTGTGAGAGGGGATGGTGGGAGACCGGGTGTCAACCTTAGTGGGGGGCTCCTGGGTGCCTTGTGTCCACATGCCGATGAGATGCTGGAGGCGCCCATGTCAGGGTGTAACCGGATGAGAAAGGGTATTGGCCTCTGAAAGCAGAGGCCCCAGAATCTTCTAGATGCCACAGTCAGCAGGGAAGGGGATGCTGTGGGGCTTTCAGCTCAGTGCTGGGGCACCTTGCGCTTCTTTCTCTGCTGTGGAATGTGGACCCCACAAAAACTCTCTCAGAAACACAAGGACAAACCCTAAAGGCGCTCAAAGGCACAGGAAGAAAAGAAACAGGACACCGGGTACTCACCTGAGACACTGCAGCTCTGCCCCACAGGTTTAAGGGACAGACACCAGACAGAATCTCTCTCTCTCACACACACACACACACACACACTCACACATACACACATGCACACTCACTCACCCACACACACACTTTTTAGACCCAGAATCAAAGGCACAGGAGTACCTCACCTGTCCCTACTCTCTGTCTCTCTGTCTCTGTCTGTCTCTCTGTCTGTCTCTCTCTCTCTTATCCTCGGTCTCTCTCCCTCTCCTTTCTCTCACCCTGCTCTCTCTCTCTCTTCTCTGTCTCTATCTCTCTCTTTGGAGACAGGGTCTCAGTATATAGTCCTGATTGACCTGGAACTCACATGTAGACAAGGCAGGCCTTGAACCCCCAGAGATCTACCTGGGATTGAAGGTATGGCCACCATGCTGGTTTCCTTTCTTTTTTCTTCTCTTCTCTGCCTACCCCCATCTTTCAGCAGCATTCACACCCAGCTCCACCCCTCAGGGCGCCCACACCAACACACACATGCAAAACAGAGAACACACACACACACACACACACACACACACACACACACGCACATACCCACTAAAGACCCCTCATGCCCACAGAAGACAGCCCCCTGCTGTGTTTGACTGGTTCTTCGAAGCAGGCTGCCCCCACTCCCTGGAGGAGGGTAAGCTGGGAGGGCTGGGCCTGGAAGGATGGGAGGGAGGGAGGGAGGGAGGGAGGGAGGGAGGGAGGGAGGGAGGGAGGGAGGATGGGGGCTCAGCTGGCCTGCTCTTCCCACAGATCCCCCGATCCTGCGGCAATTCCCTCCAGACTTTCGGGAACAGGTATTCAGGAAGCACCCTTGTCACTCCAGGGCTGGCTTGGGGCAGGTGTGGGGGCTTGAACCCTGAATGGAGGTGCGGCCTACAAAAGCCATGCATTAATGCCTCTTTCCCCTCCAGGAGGCTATGCAGATGGTGCCCAAGTTTTGTTTCCCTTTTGACATACAGAGGTATGGAGGGGACAGAGAGGTGGGGACTCCAAGGCTCTTAGGGACCCCAAGAAGGACCCTGACAACTAAGGAACTGTAGACACAGGGACCCAGAGATCCAAGAACCTAAGGACTCTGGAAACCAGGGGCCCTCTAGGGGAACTCAGTGTCAGAGTGAGTGTGTGTTCATGGGTGAGCACCTCATGTGGAGGTGAGAGGAAGATCTCTTGTCATTTTCCAGAAGCCAACCATCTTCTTTCCTTCCTTCCTCCCTTCCTTCCTTCCTTCTTTCTTTCTATTTTATTTATTTATTTTCATTCTGGGGACTTTTGAGACAGGGTCTCTCCACATAGCCCTGGCTGTTCTGGAACTCACCATGTAGACCAGGCTGCCGGCCTCAGCCTCCGGAATTGAAGGCGTATGCCACCACCACATGGCCACTTCTCTCGTGTGTTATGTAAACCGATCTCACCAGCAACCACCTTGGTTCGGCTTGGTTTTCTGTTTTAGATTTCTTTCCTGTGTACGGGTGCTTTGGCCTGCATGTGTGTGTGCACCACATGTGAGCTGCTGCCTGGAGAGGTCAAAAGAGGGCATCAGATCCCCTGGAGCTGGAATTACAGACATTGGGAGCCGCCATGTGCTCTAACCACTGGGCCGTCTCTCCAGTCCCTATGCACACATTCACCTTGATTTTAGAGACAGGGACTCTCACTGGCTTGGAAGTCTTCAAGGAAGCTTTATAGGCTGGCCATGGGGCCCGAGGGCCTCCATAATTTCACCTCTCTGGCTCTGGATTATAAGAGCTCACCAGTACACCATACTTAATTTTATTCTGTTCTATTTATTGTTACTGCTGGCGAATGGCGGAGCAGGGTGCCTGTGCCACAGGAGTCCGAGGTCAGAGGATAACTCCGTGGAGTTGGTTCTCTCCTTCCACCACGTGGGTCTCTAGAGACCAAATGCTCACTGTCAGGCCTGCATGGAAGGCATCTTCCCTTGATAAGCCACCACCCCCCGCCGGCCTCCAGGTTTTCTTTCTTTTCAGTGGTGGGTACAGGAGCTAGGACCCAGGTCCTCAGTCTTACAGGGCACACAGCTTAGTGATGGAGCTATGAGATCGGCCTCCAGGATTCAGAGTCCCTGACTCAAGGAGACCCACAAAATACTGAGCTCAGACACCAAGTGAACAAAGAAGCCATGAATTTACCAGCCATCCGTGGGGCGTGGGGGGGGCAAGAATGCCCAGTCTCCACCATCGCCCTTCCCCCTCCAGGGAGCCGCCCAGTCCTGCGGTCCAGCATTTCACCTTCGCCCTCACGGACCTGGTGGGCAACCGCAGATTCGGCTTCTGCCGCCTTCGAGCTGGCGCGTGTAGTTGCCTCTGCATCCTCAGGTGGGTGACGCTGTGGACCGGAAACCAAGCAGGGCCAGATGGGAACCAAACACCAGGCCTCATGGTGAACACAGAAACCCGTGACTGGTAAAAGTGTAGGAGCTGCAGAGTGTCCAGCCCCAAACAGGACAATCAATCCCCGCCCTCCACACAAGGCCGAG